TATTAAGTGGTATAAAATACACCTGCCCCGACACTGTTTATGAAATACCTCCTCCTATTGGTTTTTTCATGAGATATATTCCAGAAGAAGTAATGCAGCAGATGGTGAACATGACGAATTTATATATTACTCAAAAGAATATACCACGAATGAGTCCAACAACATTGGAAGAAATGAAAAAGTTTAAATGTGTACATATTGCAATTGGCAATTTGCAGTTTCCGAGAGTTTGGATGTATTGGAGTCCCCTTTATGGAATTTCGCTAATAAAAGATTCCATTGGCCTACATAGTTTCTTCAAGCTTAGACAAGCATTACATTTAGTGGATATTACTAGCGGTCCCGAAAATAACACAGACAGAATTTGGAAAGTCCGGGACCTATACGATTGCATTAGAAGAAGATGTCAGGAGCTTCCTCTAGAAACCAATCTCTGTGTCGATGAACAAATAATTCCATTTAAAGGCCAACTGAACATCAAACAGTACGTTCAAAATAAGCCGAAGAAGTGGGGAATTAAATTTATGTTTTAGCGGGACAAAGTGGTATAATGTTATGACTTTTTAATATATCAAGGTAGCACTACTGAAATAAAGCCAGTCTATAAATATTTTGGTAGTGCTGCAGGGGTTGTTATGCAATTAACAGAAAGAATAAGTGATGAAAATCATGGTCTGTATTTCGACAACTATTTCGGAAATTACCATCTTTTCCAATTTTTGTTGGCAAAATCAATTTTTGCAGTAGGTACGATAAAAGTAAACCATTGTTCAAATCCTCAACTATCTACTAATAAAGAATTAAAGAAAAAAGGGCGTGGATCTTCTTCTGTTGCACTTAGTAAAGACGGAATTATAATAACCAAATGGTACGATAACAAATCGGTTATCACAGCGTCCAATTTGATTGAAATCGGAAAAGAGGATTGCTGTACTAGATGGGACAAAAAATCAAATAGTTATCTTTAAATCCCAAGACCAGAGGCAATAAAAATGTATAATGAAAATATGGGAGGGGTGGATAAGGTCAACTTTTTGTAGAAAAAGTATGAGAAAAAGTGTGAGAAGTATTTATCGTTCATTCTTTAGACCTAGAAAATGGACTATTCGGATGATATTTCACGCAATTGATCTGGCTTTAGTGAATTCTTGGCTGGAGTATAAACACCAAGCTCTTATATTAGGAATCAACAAAAAGAAGATAATGGATCTTCTGGCATTTCGCGAAAGTGTAGCAGAGCATCTAATTATTTAAAAATCCTCCTAAGCGAGGAAGGCCAAGTGACAAGGATTCGCCAGTTCCAGCAAAAAAAAAGTGTGAAGCAAGACCTTTCGTAGAAATGTGATATGACGGCTACAACCATACTCCCAATGTAGACAAAAAAAAGATAATTCTAGATGAAAAATGGGAGGAATGTAAAAATAAGACCCATATATTTTGTTCCAAATGTGAAGTTCATCTGTGTCTGATGAAGGGAAGGAAGTGTTTCTCAAAATTTCATTTAAAATAATGTTCGTTTTGTTTTTTTTATGTGAGTAAATATTTCTAGCGTAAATAAAGTTTTGTATTATTTTCATTCACCAAGACACAATGTCCCTTCAGAGGGGAATTACAAAAAACTACCAAAGATTATGAAAATATTACTTTTACGAATAGTAATCTCTTAATTATGGCAAATAAAGGAAATAAAATAAATAATATAATTTTTTTCTCAAAAAACGACAGATGTATACTTCAGGGGTACATCGTAATGTCCCTCTGAAGGGACAAATTCACTGAAAGGGTTAAAGTGAAAATGATTTACAACGTATGCTGCACTAATTTAATATAACCGCCAGAAAATTTAACGTGTCAATTTCCCCAACAAAGACAAAATGCATGGTTACAACAGCAAATTTACTAAGATGTAAATTGAACCTGGAAGGTCAGAAATAGAACAAGTTATGGAGTTTAAATATCTAGGCATCACAATACCTAGCTACGGAAAGCTTGAAACCGAAGTGGAAGATCAAGAGAATAGAGCAAACAGAGCCGCAGGCTGCTTAAATGAAACAATATGGAGAAATAAAAATATCAGAAAAGAAACGAAAGGCAAAATTTAAAAAACAGTCATCAGACCAATAATGACATACGCGGCAGAAACAAGACATGACACAGAGAGGACAAAAATATTGTTAGAAACAGCAGAGATGAAAACACTTAGAAAAATTGATGGTAAGGTGGAGAACATTAAGAACTGGGCAAGAAATAGATGAGTAGAATGGAATGATCATGTAAGCTGAATGACAACAAATAGAGTAGTAAAGACGGCAAGAGACGTTTTAACAATAGGAAGACGATCCGTAGGAAGACCACGAAAACGATGGAATGACAACTTACTGGATGCACATTTAAAAACAGACAGGGTCATGTCTATATAAAAATAAGAAGAAGAAGAATAAGAAGACCGAACTATGACATAAGGAAATAAGCCCATAGAACATAATACTTGCTTTTCTTCCATTTTGTTCTTCATTATTTTTCTCAGTTTATTTTTGTATAAGTAAATAATTAAAATATACCAGATAACAAGCATATAACTCTATAATATTAGTATTTGATAGTATCACCTCTTTTATGGATCGCTAAAAAACGTGTATTTTCTATTTCTCAATATTTTCCTTTCTTCCCAAGTTTCTTTAAAGATATAAATTTTTTTTTTGCATTTCACTCAAATGTACTTTACCATCTCCCAATCAATTTTATGACTTCTTCATCCACTTCTATATTTAAATGCCGTATTTTTAGTATATCGCTCGTATCTGTATGTATCATATCAAGTGTCTTCAGAGAAAATGAAAAATTGCCTAAAAATGAACATTCATCTAACCACAAACTTTGTTTTTGTTCGTGGAAAGCGTTCGAGTCTTGTTTAATAAAGACAGGTATTGACGCAGATTTCCAAAACAAGATGCACCATCGATGCTATTCTATTCCTAGAAAGGCAAGGAATCCATCACGAGGAACTAAGGAAGACTGATTTCAACGACCCATCTAGTGGAAATTGTTTAAACAAAGTAGGGCTTATATCGCATTACAATATCACTCTTCAACAACATACTGAGCGGCATAAGAAAAGACAAATCTCGTAGTATTCACATAAAATACAAGATAATTCCTTAAAATAATTGCCAATGACATAAGGAAACAGATAAGACATTTTGGATGCCAAATAGTATTCTTTAATGACTGCACTTCGAATATCATCCACAGTGAGCAAATGACTCAAGAAGTTCGTTACGTCAAAACAAATACATCAGAGGTAGAAGAAAGTTTTATTGATTTTCTCACAGTTAGTGAGAAAACAGGTGAAGTTAGTCAAGAAATCCTAAAAAAATTAGACATAAATGGACTAAACTAAGAGAATTGTAGAGGCCAATCATGGGGCAAATATATATGGCCGGGAAGTATAAAGGAGTTCAGTTCAGACTACTTCAGGAGAACGAGTTAGCATAGTTTGTCCCGTGTTCTGCTCACTCCTTGAATTTAGTTGGTGTTAGTACAGAGGTATTATTCTCTGGAGACAGAAGAGGAGGCGGCAACCTGATCTTTGTCCCACTGACAAATCTCCAAGTTCCGGCCCTGGCTATAGGTACTCTTTTATATTGTTTTGTTTCTTCCTTTTTCTTAATATGTAGTAATAAATAAAAACTAAAAATCTTACTAAATCTTCTAGAAGTTTCAGAAACACAGGTTAAGAATAAAATGGTGTTGTAGAGCGTCGGGAAGAGACGAGAGAAGAATATCTAAAAAGATCTGTGTTTATTTAAAAGAACAAAGCACAAAAGGAAAACATGTAAGAATAGAAATAGAGTATACAGAAACTAAGAAAACTTATGAATAAAAATTAAAATCCACAATATGCTATTAAGATCCATAACAACATAATATTATGCAATGGCAATAAGTACAATAAGCAAGAAATGTATCAAGAAATCTAATAAAATTACCAGAAATAGAAATCATGAGAACCATCCTCGAGACCAGCAACTAGAGAGATAAAAGATTAATTGAAAACAGTACATAAACAAAAAAAAGTAAAAGAATGGAAAATTCATAGATCTGAGAGGAAACTAAACCTGTACAAAGACAATTACAAAAACCAATCGACTAATTAACTATTTATGCGATGAGGAATAGCTTTATCTATGAAGCATAGATAGTGATAGTTCAGAAAAAATAATGTCACTTTATTGAACCTGTGACAAGAGTAGTATAAAAAAATGTTCAGCAACAACGCTTCACAGATATAAAAATGTGGAATAGAATTACTACCGAGGTTAGAGCACATCCAAAACTAATAAAATAAGGAAAAAAAGTTTTACAAACTCATAAAATGGATAAAGAAATCCTATATAAATTGATCAAGAGTACCTTGATTTACTATTATAATTATTATAGACACCTTAAACTTCTATTTTCGCTAAATTTATCTGCTTCTACTTCGTTAAAGCAAAGTTTTAAAAGGACACAGTTAAAAAAATAGGAATGTGAAAAACATAATATTATTTTGTACATTTATGTGTTACTCATTTGTATATTACATTATCTAGATCACTTTGTCTCAAAAAAATATTACTAGAATCTAATAAATTGTTTAGAATATCAAGTAACTGTCACGCTATCTAAATATTAACTGTCAAAACTTTAAAATAAATAAAAAAATCAAATTATATGTCCATATCAATAGAGTCTATAATACCTATTTTGTTGTTTATATTAGAATAAAACATTTTATTTAATATTTAAGGTTATAATGTTCAAAACATGTCCACAATGTACCAAACTATCAAATAAGAGAACATGTCCCCAATGTACTAAATTATCAAATTTAATATACTTGTAAAATTAGTTCAATTATAATGTTTACACAACTTTTCTACTGACAACTAGTATAAAATTAGATTTATAATAAGCCGGAAAAATGTAAAATTATTTGTAAATCATAAATAGAGACTTACCTTAAATAATATTCCTCAGGTTAGTCAGGTTCTATTAAATATTTTAGATCAAATTGACACCAGTTAATTCGATTTTTTCTCCAACTGAACACTATTTCAAACTGAACTTCACAGTATTAGAATAATTTAAAACTTTTAGACAAGAGTCTGGAACGCCTGTCGTCTGTCGAAACAGTTCATAGCACCCTCAAAAATATTAATGCATGATTTTAAATGCGTTCTATGACGTGCGTTCGGTTAACGAGGTTAGAGTTTACGGCACGATTGTTCGGTGGCGCTGCATGCACAGATACAGATTCAACCCCGGATTTGGATCGCAAACTGAATTGTTTTATCAAAGGGTCGGTTTGTCCCACGGAAAATCATCCCCTCTGAATTCCGGTTGCTAGGGATACTACGCCGACGCTCTCTCAAATGATAATGTGATAGTTTCAAACTGATAAAAAATAAAAAAGTTGGTCTTTTTGCGCTATTTTGCTAACTGGATAGGTGAAGTTTTCTGTAAATACGCATAGCTACTGATTTGAATTAAAATTGGATTTTCTAAATGCAAATGACTCTTTAAATGGAAATCGTTGTTATGAAGGAATTTATCCAAAGGAAATAGTTGCAAATTAGAGAAGAATTTTGTAACAGAATTGGAATTGTCCAGTGACGTAGGTGAGAAATATAACAAGGCAAGAATAACAAATAGATCGTATATTTACAAAAGTTGTAAGTAAAAAGTAAAGAAATAAAACATTTTTTCTTCTGTTGGGCAATCAAACATCTATCTTTTGATGATGAAGACTCGCCGTCTTCTTCCTTTCGCTTCGCAATTTATTATCGACTACGTCAGTCGTTGTTTAATGGTGCTTCCATTTTATTTGGAGGTTATTTCGTTATTTATAAAACACTGGATGTAGCACTCCGGGAGGGACCGAGGAGAGGGGCATAGTTTTCTTATCGTCTAAACAAGGAGAAATGGTTTTAATTTACTTTAATTTATTTATTTTAATTTTATTTTATTTCTATTCGATTCGATAATCAATTCGATAATTGTTTCGATTCGATATTCGATTTGAATTGATATTTAATTCGATTCGAGATATGATTTGATTCGATATTTGATTCGATTTTTATTCGATGATTGATTCGATTCCATTCGATAATCATACAATCATACAAGAAATATATAGAACAACTTTTACTGTATTTTATTTTATTTTCTTTTATTGTATTTTGATTTGATTTGATTCGAAAATCAATTCGACTCGATAACCGATTCGACAATCGATTCGATTCGATTATATTTTATTTCTTGTATTTTATTGCATTATTGTATTTTATTGTATTTCGATTCGATTTGACAATAAATTCGATAGAGGTTTGATAAGCGAATTGATTCGATAATTGATTTGATAATCGATTCGATTCTATTTAATTAGATTTGATTTCGATTCAATTCGATTCTATTTGATAATCGATTATATAATTGATCAATAATGAATCAATAATCAATTAATATCGAATCGATTATCGAATCAATTATCGAATCGATTATTTATTCGATAATTGATTTGATAATCGATTCTAATAATTACAATCTTATACTAGAGTATATTCAAGTATATACTCGTCTTGTCGATAATCGATTTAATTCGACAATCGATTACATAATCGAATGGATAGTTAATTAGATAATCGATGTGATAATCAAATCGATTCTATTTGATTCAATATTCGATTAGATTTGATTTGATTTGATAATCGTTTTGAATAATCGATTCGACAATATATTCTATTCGATATTTGATTAAATATATGATTTAATTCGATCATTGATTCGATTTTACAATCGATTCGTTTTGATAATTCTACATTCGGTTAACTTGCGTGTCCACCTTCGATCTTCCATTTTTTCCATGTGGCCAGTCCATCTCCATTCGAATTTGTAGACTCTCCACAACAACTGTAACTTTAGTTCTGTTTCGTAGGTCTGTGTTTATGATCTTGTCTTTTCTTGTTATTCCTATTATTGAACGCTCCATCCTTCTTTGAGCTATTCTTAGTTTTGAAGCAATGTTTTTTGTTAGGGACAGTATTTTCGCTCCATAAGTCAGTACTGGCAGAACACACTGATCGAAGTCATTAATAATCGGTATGTTGCCTTCTTTCAGCATGTTTTTAAGAGCTCCATATGCTCCCCATTCATGTACTCTTCTTCTTTTTACCTCATATGTATGGATGACCTTCTTATTCTTCTTCTTCTTTTTCTTCTTCTTCTTCTTCAGCCTTAAGTAATCCAACTTTAGACATAGGCCTCCCCCAAATCAATCCAGTGTCTTCTATTTTGCGCCACTTGCTTCCAGTTGTGTCCTCCGATCTTTTAATATCATCCGCCCATCTCATTTGTAGTCTTCCTCTGCTTCTCTTTCCTAACCATGGTCTCCATTGTTGTATTTCGTGGTTCCATCTCTTATCCTTCAGTCGGGCATTGTGTCCTGCGAAGCTCCATTTCGTTTTGCTTCTAATCCATTTGTTTCTTTGTATCTTTTCATCGTTCTTTGTGCCTTTACTATTTTATCCATGTTAGACTTGGTGAGTGTCCACACCTGTCAGCTATAAGTGAGTATATGATCGTAAATTCTGGTTTTCAAATATTGTTCTACTTAAGTGCTTTTCAAGATCCAACTCAGTTTACAAATCCTACCCACGCTTATCTTATTCTTCTGGTTATTTTGGCAGTTTGATTTTCTTTGTTAACCTTCATTATCTGTCCCAGATAGATGTATTCGCTTACTGTTTCTAAATTTATATCGTTCAACGATATTTCTCTAATGTTCAGTGTATTTGTCATCATTTTTGTATTTTCCAAGTTCATCTTTAGACCTACTTTTTCCGAAGCTTGAAATAGTTGCGTCATCATGGACTGTAGTTCTTCGAAACTTGTAGCGAATATTACAATGTCATTAGCGTATCTTAAATGACTAAGTTTTCTTCCATTAACATTTATTCCTTGATGGATGACCATGCCTGTTCTAATTTCGTGTCCAAAGCATATGTCTTTATCAACAAGTTTTACTTCATCTTTTTGGATTTTTAAATTGTTACTAGGCACGAGGTTCGTCATGTATGTTGTTTTGCGAATATTCATTTTTAAACCGATTTCTCTGCAGACTCTTTCCAGGTCTTCTAACATTATATTGATTCCGTCTAGGTCACCCTATCAAAACTATGTCATCAGCCTAACTCAGGTGATGCAGTCTTTCCTCGTCGACACTTTAAGGGCATGTTCTAGGGCAGTTATGGTGATAAATATGGGCAAATTTTCGTGATAGTGTGCAACCGCTTTATGGAAATCTATAAACACTAATATCAGAGGTTTATTGTATATTATACGGATTTTTCAAAGGTTATTTATCGTTTGCCGGTTTGCAGGTTTACTAGGTTTTCCGTTAATTTGTAGTTTAACGGAATGTATGGAGATATGGTTTTTGGAGATATGATTGTATGTTGTCTTTCCGTAACATTCTGGGACATTCAAGTGCCCTTTTTCTTATGGGAACTTTAGACTTTATTTACAGGACATTATCATTCTAGTGATCTCTGTATGATATCTGTATTTATTTTTATTCTATTGTGGTCATATCGTGGGGCAGTGATAAAATTTACCAAAGTATTTTATTTTCAAATCATCTCCATCTTCTCTGACCGTTGTCCATGTTTGCATCGATATGTTAGTACAGGTATAGCAATGCATTGATATATCTTCACTTTTATGTTCTTATTTAATTTTTGGATTTTACAAGCTTATTTAATGCGGCAGCAGCCTGAATTCTGGTGATTTCTTCTTCAGTGATAAAAAAATAATGAAGATTGTGATGTTTTGTCCAATTCTGCCCCTTCGGCCCGTCTTATTTATGCAGATGTATTTTGTTTTCTTTTCATCGACTTAAGTCCAACTTTTTTTATTCTTCTTTCATAAAGGGAGGACCAGATCTGACCAAACAACTAGTCAAACTACTCCATAAAATAATAGAACAAAACAGAAAACCACCAGAATGCGCATCGTAGTACCTCTATTCAAACAAATAAACAAGTCAGACCCAAATTTGTTAAACACAACACTAGGGATGGGAAAAACCTACCGGTTTTAACCGAAAACCGGGTTTACCGGTTGTTTTTTTGTCCCGGTTATAAACGGTTTTTTATTTTTAAAGTAAAAACCGGTTATTATGTTTTTTAGTTTTATTAGTATTATTAGTATTATTTAGGCATTATTTTGGATTTCAAACATAATTATTATTCTCAAGTAGTTATTCCTAACAAAACCATAATTTACATTTTATTTTATTTTATAATTACAGAAGCAAACTGAAAGTTCAAACTCATATCAGCCAGAAACAATTGAGTTTTGTTATAATATTTCGTTGAAAAGGCATTTTTAATCATAATATTTACAGTGATCTGGTACATTACATATTTTTCACACTTGACTCTTGACATTGAAAGTGATGAATGGCTTTTTCTGATTACCAAAAATAATAATGTTCTGACTATAAATATCGAATTACCGAATTCTCCAAGGAATTCCCTATGTTTTCAAAACAATACAGGAAGTATTAAAATGAGTTAATGTACCTATTAAACAAATATGCAAACGTGTTAAAAGTAATACATGATAAATTTTTTTGATGGTAGTAAAAATATAAGATGAATTGCATTATCCAATTTATTTTTAAGTAAAATATTTATGTTTATATTATTTTTTTTAAATCCCATTTGAAGAGTCTGTGAAATATTTTATAAGTTGAAATAGTTGGGGAATTTTTTGGGTTTTGGAGGAGAGGAAAATTGGTGGGTATTTTAGAGGATTAGATTTTCACAGGGTAAATTAAATTTGCATCATTTAATTGAATACAATAATTGCATATTATCTACTCTCATAATATATTCAATGACAATAGAAGCTAAATTATTTCAGCGCTCTCTGTTGAGCAGTAGTATAATAATTTTGATTTACTGTTCTCTACATCTGACTACTGAAATTCAGAAATCTTTGAGATTCACACAAATCAAATGTAATTTCGATCCAAGTAATCAAGTAATTTTCATGACGACATTGAAGACCAGTTATAATTTAGGAGTTCCTAAATAAATCTAGTAATAACGACGTTTTCTTTTCATCTTC